CTTCCCCGGGAGCTGCGGGGGGCGATCGCCCGGCGCCCAGCCGAAGGCAGTCCCGGCTGGTTCTGGCTTTTCCTCCTCGGGGGAAGGCGCCTCGTCACGACCAAACGCCACACGACGGAGCATTGCGTTAAAAAAAAGCCCACCGCATTCCCGTTGGGCCTGTTTGATCAGAAATACGGTCGCCGAAGAAACAAATGAATGGGGTCTGGTCGCATCCTCTCAAAAGAAGCGTTGCAGCTCTCCCAGCTTGTTCTCTTGCCCAGTGAGGGACTGAAGTTCTAGGATAATAGTTCTTAGCTTTACTCTTTTCTCCCGTGTTCCGCTGCAGCACTCGCTCCCTGCTGCCCCAGGGCGTGGGGCCAAAGGTAGTGTCTCCAAAGGGCTGGTCCAGGCAGGCTTCTGCCCAGGAAACTCTTCCTTGGTGCTCCGCGGGTCTGGAGCTATAGCCCTGCCTTCTAGATAATTGTGACGGTGCGAGCATACGACGTCCAAAATAACCTTACTCCTTCTCGCTTCTTTTTTACTACAGAATTATTCTTTAGCAGGTTTGTGTTTATGGTTTATAGCCTTATCAGCTCGAATTAACTTGATGTTTCTTTGTGCTTCTACATTCAGCAGCTGTAAAAGGAGGAAAATATTCTTGTAGTTCATATCTATCTGGTGGAAAAGCTGAAAACCATCAGAAATAAATCTTCAGTAATGCTAGTGAGGCTGTGAATTAACAGCACTGTAACTTATAAACAGGCTTAGAGTATCAGGGATGTCTGTCTGAGTCTATCCCTCAGTCTCTAATTGATTAAGACTTTTTTTTAATTATGGTTTTAAAAGAAAAAAAAAAGCTTAAGCTTTATGCTCAAGTTTCCTGCTGTCCACTTTGTAACAATGGAAACATATCTAATGTTTAAAAACTTTTTAAAAAAATAATTAAAAAATCAACGGGGGGGTAACTTGTTTGGTGGTACTGGAATCCAAGGTCTGGGTAGCCATGGAAACTAGCGTGTCTTTTTAATTGTAAAAAAGAGGCTGCTTTGGTTGTGGGGTTGAGAGAAGAGCAGAGGAGCCTGGGCAGATTTTGGTTTGTCGCTTGTGCCCCTTCTACAGGTTCTGGTTGTACAGCAGCGGCTTTCAGTCCCTAAGACTGTTCCTTAACCAGCATTGATTTGTAGGAATAAAGATCCGAAAGGAAAAAATGGTATTATTAAGCTCTACCATAATATCTAGACAAAGTTTTTAAAATCTTTATATTAAAAACACTTAGAAAGATATTGTATATATTTTTTAGTATGCCTATAGACTTCTGCAGAATACATGTATGTAAGTACTCAGATTTTAAAATTTAGAAAAAGATTTTGAGATTTTAACACTTGGAACAACGAGCATACCTGACTCTATCAAATTTTCCCTCTGAAGAAAATAGTAGGATAGCTAATGTAGTTCCAGTTTGATACACTAACACATTTTAATTAGTATGCATGCTTATTACAGGCATCTGCATATAATGAAATGAAACCGTAAGCAGCTACTGGATGGGGATAATACATCGTAAGCTCTGTTCATCAGCTTTCAAAGTTTCCCGACCAAAACCATCCCCGGAAGCCCTAGTGCAGGCGGTAGTTAAGCAGCATTCTCTCATGTTGGGGTAAGACTGTTAAGGTTAAATGCTGAGAGGAACTTAAGTATATCAGTATCTTCTCTTTAAAAGACTAAAGGGCCTTTCATACGGTCTTTCAGCCAGTAACCTGAAACATCAACTTCTTTATGGTCTTCTGCTTCTGGGTTTGGGATCCCGGAGTCGCCTGGCAGGGGAATGTTGGCAGCATCCTGGGGAAGAGGACGAGGACAACAATATATCGATGAGATGTAACGTATGTGTTTCTCCTCACCTCTCTTCCCAGCTTAGGCAGACCATGACAAAGTTCTGTCAAGAGCATTTGGCTCCAAAGGCCCAACAGATTGACCAGGAAAATGAATTCAAAGGCATGCGGGTAAGTATTTCATGTGTGCATTTAAAATAGATGGTAGTGAAAGCCTGTCTGTGCTTTGATCTGCACGTTAGTGCAGACAAAGAATCCCAGTCCGCACCACAGGAACATATGCATTAACTTTTCAAACTTGAAAGCCATAGAGTAAACAATTTTTTGATTTCCTGTTTTATCTTTTGTTAACAACTTCAGCAACCTGGGGCAGAACCCAGCCAGCATGCAATTGAGAAAAAAAAAAAACAACCACCCAAAAAGATGGATTGGTAATGGGCTTGTTTGGATTCTCATCGTGGTATTTCTGCTTGGCTCTATTCAGACTCCTCTAATACGTGCTTTGTATTCTCCTAGCTAGGACCCTTTCTCGGACATCTGAGTTTCCTCTCAAATTTGTTGTGGAAATATTGTGCGCAAATGCTGAAATGTAGAGTTGTTTGACTGTCGGGCTGAAACTTGCCTTCCTAATAAAAACAACAAATTCTGTGCAACAGGATGGTTTGATTGATGAAACTGAGAGATCTAACTATTGGTTTTCATAAGCTCCACAAGACTTAAAAAGCTCAGAACATCTGCTAGGATTTCCCAGAGCTCTGATGTTGACATTTTCAGGGATATATGTGCAGCTTTGAAGTTAAGTGTATAAATTTAGTCTGGCGCACCAGATGTCATCCAGAGCTATTGCGTAATACTTTTTGAAGTCTCTGGAGACTATTCACTGATAATTATCTTATCGCTGGATGCTGAGGCCATGTGACAAGCGTTCACCTGTGTGTCCATCACGTAGTGGAGGAGAGGCTGCACTCTGAAGCAGCAGCAAAGAGACGGCCCTTCCAGCATATGTGCGGTCCTCATTGGTGACACCCTCTGCTGCTGCATTACGTCACGGCTTCCCTCTTACTCTGTGATGCCGTGTGCCAGACACAGCTGATGTGTATGTCTCAAGTCAGGCAGCAGCTCTGTGCCTCGAATCATGTGGCTGTCACTTGAGCGGTGGTGGTGCCAGAGGGACAAATCTGGGTGACAGGCAAATGGAGGAGTCGGCAGTCAAGGAGGACAGCTTGTCCTCTAGCAGGTGAACTTTGTAGCATAGGTGTCCAACTATGCAAAACTCAGTAGTGCTATCCAGTCCCCATGTGTGTCCGGTGTCCTGGCAGTCTTGAAAACCTACAAGTTATGTACTTGAGCGGCCCTTGTGGATTCGGCTCCCTTAGCTTCACGAGTCCAAAGTGTTCACAAATTCTCTGTTGTGGTCACCTTTTATAACTTGTCTGGTACCGCCCGCAAGGTGGGCAGCACCTCTGTCTGCCCCAGCTGTAACATTCCCATTTTTTAATCTCTCCCAAGGAGGCCTCCTTGGCTTTACTTACCAGTTTCTGTTTTACTAGAAGAGTTCAATTGCCAGCTAATAGCAACTCTTCTAAGTATTTCCAGGGTTTCAGTCATGGATAGCTTATGCTAACCGCTGTTTGCGGTAACCACAGGCTGATAGGCCTACACAGTGCTGCCAAAGCACAGTGACAAGGATGCATGAGATAAAAGACAAGCATAAATTTAAGTCATAACATCCTAACATCTCTTTAGCAAGAGATAGCATATGAAAGCCTAAAAGTGCAGTTTTTGAAATTAATGGGAGGTTTTAATTCATCAAAATTCTCCTTAAACTGGGCAATGAGTTAAATCTTAGGACCCGTCCTTCCAGAATTACATTTAGGCTTGTGAATTTTCACTGAATCCAACAGACTACTCCCATGTGTAGCGTAACTAACGTCCTTAAGTTTGTGTGGGTTCTTAGTCCAAAGGATGGACCTGCTGCTGCAGGAGGAGTAGGTATTGATGTCTTTATCTCTGAGATATCACAAGAATAAGATAAACTGATGTGTCCGGTGAGCTACCTGGGAAAACTTCTTGTGCTGATGCCCTGACTGCGAGTCTGGACTGATTGCTTGTTCTGTATTTGTAGGAGTTTTGGAAGAAACTTGGGGAACTGGGTGTCCTGGGGATCACAGCTCCTGGTAAGTCTGTTCCCACCTTTTACCTTCTGGTGGGTGATTCTTCAAACAAATGAGAGGCTACTTAAACTCACCCTTTCCAGTTCATGACAGCCTTGTCTGTGATGTGACATCCTTTTTGTCCAGAAGCTCCTATCCTCCTGTTTTTTAAAAACTCTCTCTGGCAACTTTTTTTATTCTTCG